AATATCGTTATTTTATTTCATTTGCTGTTAAGTTATATCATTGGTCTTGTATGAATTATTATTCCACGATAGATTCCATGTTGCGAGATTATTTCTAGAATATACTTGACAAGAGGTTCTCTATCTCAGAATCCCTAACACTTGCAGGATCCATTTAACGTAACAATCCTCTTAGTTCGTAGGTTTGATTGAAATCAAGATCACTTAGATGTCTAGTATCTCAGGATCTTCTCTGCATTGGGATCAACTTGGCACCAGTGGTATGGATATCTTTGATTCCAAAACACTATCTAACCAAATGATACTCTTGATACCATAACACTTCCAGAATATCCTCCAACATCTTTTAATAAAGTCTTTTCATAAATTTCTTTTAATAAATTTCTCCGGTATTATTGTTATTATCTTTTTGATTCTATTAATCTTTTTTTTAAAAATTCCTCTCCCGCTGAATAAATTATTCACGAGGCATATATTATTCGTTAAATACTGTGATCAAGATCAAATAAACACGGCGTGCAGCTGCACGCGTGGCGCAGCTTGTTGCTAAAGTTTAAACAGAGTTTAAGATTCAAACTCTTATTTTGCGGTGCATCTGTTCCACAAAAGACAGAGGGAATTTATTACATTCGCAAACTCGAGTCTCTGTGCGAGATGCATACTATTTTCCCTCCAACACGTACAAGCCCTAATACGTGAACGTCATAAAAAGCGTAACGGTGAAGTAAAGTAAAAAAGAAAAAAGAAAAAGAAACGAGATACCGGCTTCGTTCGTTGTTGTAAAAAAATAAAAGAGAAAGAAAGAAAAACTTGTGAATAATAAAGCGACTTGAAAAATTGATCCCATGCCAAGTCGCCTCTCGCCCATTTCATTATATTAATCGAAAAATCGATCAATTGATTAATTCATTTTGTCTTAATCTCTGTTTAATTCTTTTCCAAAAAAAAAAAAATTTTTTTCGTTTGATAAATTAAAAAAAATCACAATTCTCTTTCTATACGTTATAATCAATATCCTTGCATCTTAAAGAATAATAATAAAAAAAAAAAAACTGAATTACTGAAACGTCAATATCGTGTTATTAAAAACAAAGGAGAAGGTCGCGAAATGTATCCAAGAAAAGTAAACGGAAACGAATATCCGAAACGTCACTGATTATTAAAAGCGGAAGAAAAGGGGAGCGGGGGAGAGGGGAAACACTGGTGAATATATCGTTTCAGAAACGGGAGAAACTTTGCGGCAAACTTGGCGTTCGAGGCGCGATACGAAAATTACACGACGAAATAATAAATCAAAGGCAGGAGAAACGGCGGAATGGAGAATGGTTGATGGCGCGGAGAGGGATGCGGGAGCAGGATGAAAAAAGGAAGCGTGGAACGTGTCGCCTGTAGGTGAAAGGAGTTGCGTCAAGGGAAATAGTAAGTTTACGGGCGGTGTGCTCGCAGAGGCGGACGAAAAGTTCCGGGAAAACAATGACAAAATAAAACGGCGTAACGTATGTACCCACGTTGCGCGAGGAGAGCCTTGGGCGTTTCTTCCATCCCTCTCCTCTCCAACGTGTCCCGCTTTTATGCAACCCTTTCTCTCCCCAGGAATGTTGGCAGTAGCAGGCCAGGGAGGGGAGGGTATAGAAATTGTAAGTAAAATTCAACGACGAGAGGTACACGAGGATAGAATGGTTGAAAAGATCTGAAGTCAAGTTTCGGGGGGGGAGGGGTAATTCGTAACTGAAAATACCCCTTCAAATTCAGTTTCCGTGACGGGAAAGCGTGCTCGGCGTTCCGTGCTCCCTGTCAAACTGTCAAAGGGATAAATGCTTCGTCCCTTTGTCGCCCGTTTGAATTTTCTTCAATTTGATTAGCGCTCGAACGGATTAAGGATGATACGTGAGAGATATTATTGAGATTCGATGAGGTCAGGCTATTCTATGTTTCGTTTCTCGGGTTCAAAAGAGGTTGGTTTTGCGAGTGGTGGTATAGAATATGTAAATAAAGCTGTCAGTTATAATTAGGGAACATTGCAAGTGTGATAAATTCAAATTCGATTAAAAAGTTTATCTTTTTTTCTCTCTCTCTCTCTC